GCGGTCAGGCACGGCGGCTCTCGTGCGGCGGCGGTCAGGCACGCCGGCGGTCAGGCACGGCGGCTCTCGTGCGGCGGCGTGGCGCACTGTACCAGTTTCTGCCGGTCCTCCACTGACTGCAGGTACTGAGCTTTGCCCTGCTGAGACTCGTCCCGCTTCTTCAGGAAGGGCTCGATGGACTTGTACTGGGCGTAGAAGTTGCTGAGGTCCTGCGGGCAGAGGGACAGAGAGGGGTCAGCGGCTGGCCAGGCGGGGGGCGTGGGAGCGTGGCGAGGCGTTGCCGGGGGCGTACTGACCGGGACCAGGTCCTTGACGACGTACATGTGTGGGAGGGGGTAGATCTTGGTGACGCGCGCCGCGTTGGCGTCGATCTTGTTGGTGCACGCTAGCGTGTTCCCACCATTGATGTTCATGGCACAGGAGCCACAGATACCTGCTCAGCACACAAAACACACAACGCAGAGGGGGCAGGTGAGCTGCAGTCCACACACACACACACACACACACACAAGTCTCAGCCCGCAGGCAGAGCCCAGCCCAGCGCTCACCCTCTCTGCAGGAGCGCCGGAAGGTCAGCGTGGGGTCCTGCTCATTCTTGATCTTGATCAGGGCGTCCAGGACCATGGGGCCACAGCTGCAGACACACAGGACAGGACAGGACAGGACAGGACAGAGTGTCAGACAGCACGTATGCACACAACTACCCACTCGCATACACGCACAGGGGGTGCAGCAGCAGGACGGGCTGCCCTCAGGGTGACCTGCCTGTTGAGGTCGACCTCGTAGGTCTGCATGCGCGGCTTGTCTCCGGGCTTGTCGGGATCCCAGCGGTAAATCGCGAACCTCTTCAGGCGCGCTGCGGCGGCCTGCGCTGGGGCGGCGGCTGTCTGGGCGCCGCGGGCGAGCTGTCAGGGGAACACAGGACCGAGCGTCACCGGAGAAACGGCCCAGCCCCTCGCCCGCGGAGACCTCCCTGCGATCATCAGACACCAGCTCGACGGCAGCTCTTCCCCACGCGGACCGCCCCCGCCGCGTCACGGCACAGCTGTTCCGACACACCCCCGCCCGCATCACCGAGCGGCGGGGTCATCGACCTGAGCTGTGCCTCTGCCCCACTGCTGACCCCAGATCAGCTCCCCACACTGACTGCCCCTGGCGCCGAGCAACAGCTCAGTCCCCACTCACGGGTCTGACCTGCAGCTGTCTACACGCAGAGAGGCAGGCAAGCGCCAGGCCACTGGCGACAGACAGCAGCGCTGGGAGAAAGCACTGGACCAGCGTCTCCGGTCCTGCAGGGACCTGGAGTCACCCATGGGCATCCAGTAGGTGTCTGTGCACAGAGAGGTGTGTGTGTGTGTCTGTGCACAGAGAGGTGTGTGTGTGTGTCTGTGCACAGAGAGGTGTAGATGTCTGGGAAGTACACTGTCTGAGACTCTTCAGTGAACGGCTGAGTTAAATCCTGGGATCTCAGCAACAACCCGTGGCGGACCAGCAGAACACAGATCCTCAAACTGCTCCATCGCTCCCAATGACAAAGAACCACTGACAGCCTGGCGCCTGCGTGTAACCCGCTCAGCCCGGTCTACTGACTACAGCAAGCCCTGGGATAAAGCTGTTACACTACAGAGAAGCTGTTAAATCCATCAACTCCATCAACCCGGGCCGCTGAACCTCACAGGAGCCGAGGCACAAGCGGGGCCAGGCGGACATCACCCCGAACATCACACCGACCCAGTCCGCTGCCTGAGCCGGTCGTCACAGCGTCTCAGCAACACAGTTCAAAGGTAACTTGAAAAAGTGGCTTATCAGGGGAGTCGTTATCAAGAATCGACCCCCCAACACACCGAGCCGCCAGAGCAGAGCAGCGGGTCTACAGATTGTACCTGTTTTTACAAGATACCGCCGCACTGGCCCTCGGACTCTCAAGGAGACGGGTTGTGTAACTGCTGGCAGCTGCAAGACCCGCACTCCGCTGTTCGGGACCGGTTCGCCGAGCCCCGCTCTCGGTCTCGGGTTCCCCTCTGTCCCCCCGGAACCCCCGGCTGCTCCCCGAGCCGCCTTACCCACCTTCAGGGCCGGAACCAGGACCGACCCGCTCCTCAAGGAGAAGCACACAGCCGACATCTTGGAGGAACCGAAGGACTCTGAGCGTCAGCAAGCCGGAGCTTTTGAGCAACACCGGACACCACCGACATCCAGCGGCTGCTAGAGCGCCACTTCCGGCAGGTCCTGGGGAGCAGTGAGTTTTCTCAAAGAAGCCGCACGACGGGCGACTTTGTCCTGGGTGCAGTTAGTCTTGTCGTGCCGCTGTCTCCACTGCACAGTGGGACACAGCTGGAGTAGCAGCTCCAGTGCACAGCACGATGTGGGAGAAGGGAGAAACTGTTTGAGCAGTGTATAAAGGAGGAAATGTAGGGGGGGCAGATTGTATGTGTCCAGCATGGAGGGTAGCTGGGTCACCGTGGTCATAGGAACAGTGCCCTGGGGTATTAACCTGCCTCCATACCGAGGACCTGATTTGGAAATTGTGGTGCAAAGCAGTGAGCACCCCCTACTGGTCCACCAACATCACTTACAGGAGCAGCTGGGTTTTCCTGAAGCTCCCCAGTACTGACCAGGCCGATCCTCGCTGAGCTTCCGAGATCAGACAAGGCTGTGAGGTGTTGTAAATGTGAAAACAACTAGATTGGCTGGGTAAAGACTCTTAGTTGTTTTTTTAAGTTTCGTTTTTTGCTGTTGTTTGGATTGGTACTATACTTCAGGAATCACAACGTGGAGCCTTGTTTGTTTTCTTTCTTCTCTTCTCAGCAGGAATAAACCTTTTCTTGTTCCTTTGCAGCCTGCGCCTGGTGATGTAGCTACCCACCTGAAATACTTTAGGAATGTTTGACTAAGAAGTTGTTTATTTATTAGGGCAATCGGTGTTTGCCCCTACAGTGGGAGAAAACTTGTCTTGGCCGCCAATAATGTCTAGCGAGAATTATTATAGCGAGGTCTATTCTGTAACCTTGTTCGCCTCTATCCCACAATCCCACAGCGCCTTCTTCCGCCACGCTTTCCTCCCCTTTGACGTCATCTACATCTCCTTCCGGTCCAGTTTTATAAGATGTTTGTGTTGAAATTGCGAAACATCGTGCGTGTTTAGCACTCAGAAGAACAGTCACAATAAACACACGTGATCTAACCCTCCCTTGATGTTCTAGGTTGCCTACATTAGAGACGATTATGTAAAAAGTATTTGCATTTATATAGCGCTTCTCATCCGAATAGATCTCAAAGCGCCTCGCTTCATTCTTAAAAGCTCCCTTCGATAAGAGGCGCAGATGGTTTCTGGGGGTGTGAATTACAATCCAAATTAAAAAGACAGACCGTTGTGTTTAACTCGCCCGGTTTCCTTAGGCCTGGGAGACGAGCAGAAAAGCATTGTTTCTGTACGCGGTGTAGCTGTGGTGTGAGATCTCTCCCCGTTATTCTACTGAGCCTTTTTCCTGGGAGACAAGCCCACTTCTGACTCTGAAATCCGCTGATGAAAATATCAAATGACATTTTAACGCATAGTGTGTAACAATGGCATCTTATCTCAACATCATTTTGTAAACACGAGCAGTCCAATATTATGTCTTGCACCACAGTGTTTTAAGCTAATCGGAAAGGATTTCAATGACCTTTAAACGATCAATAAGATTGTTTCGTAAATATTATAATAACACCTCAGATGGTGTTTTCTCTTGTCCTCCTCGATGTTTTGTAATGTGAGCCTTTCACAGGCTGGAGTTTTGTTCATTAATTAAAAATAAGACGTTATTTGAGTCTTAAAGTTTGTATCAGTGATCTAGTTTGTGATATAGCCAGTAAACTAGTAATGTTTGGAAATGATACCAAATCAGGATGATTAAAAAACACCGTAGGAGGAGCAAATTCAATTCATAGGAGTTCAGACAGAATTCGAGACTTGGCGAACGCCAGCCGCCAGGGGGCGTCCGTGTGGCGCAGCGCTAGGGAGCGCCTACATTTCCCACACGCCCCTGCGGCTAACGTCTATGGCGTCAGCCCTGACCTCGCAGCAAACATGATGGCCGCCTCCGTGTAGCGCGCTGGTTGCATCTCGCACCGAGCCGAGGAGGTCAACAAAGGGAGTAAGAGAGCGAAAGCAGGGACAGTGGAGGCATGGTGTTTCTGACTCTGTCCCGTTGGATCAGGAGCCGGGGGCCAGACCGGTACTGGAGGGTCCAGGAGGTTCTGAAGAATGCCCGGGTAGGAGACTTTATCCTTCCACCCTTCTCAGATTTCCGAGTCAAGCTCACTTGATTCCAGTGCGGGTGAAGAGCCGTTTAGCCCCGAGACCTGTGTGGCTGTAGGCTGCTTTTCATTCACGCCTCGGTACCGTACAGTGCGCCTTCCGCCCGGTACCGGCATGACCTGACCCACGACGGCTCGAGGTCACGAGCGGGTGTCGCAGCTGGCGTGGGCTTTCCCTGCGAGTTTGCCAGTAATGCTGCTGATGGCACCTCGTTGTGCTCGAAGGGTCTCGACCTGGGAGACGGTTCCCGCCTTCAGAAGCGGCAGCAGGCGCCGGTTAAGCCTGTGGACTCCGTGGGCAGGGTGAGGGCTGTGGAGATCTGGACAGCAGGTTATATCTGCTGCTCAGGCTGAGCTTTCAAACTCCTCCAGGGCACCGACTGAAATCGGAGGACCTGGAAGCGCATTTAAAACCGAGAGCAGGAGGCAGGTCTTTACACAGAGAGTGGTGGGGGTACGGAACAAGCTACCCAGACGTGTTGTTGAAGCTGATGCCTTCATCAGAGGGAGACCAAGCGCACACCCTTATCTGAGAACTTATGTTCCTCATTCGTGCCATATCCTGCAGGCTGTAAACTCTGGAATGGATCAGTCTGCTGTGCACTGGGAGTCTTACGCCAGGAGATGGAGCGTACTTCCTGAGTACAGCTGCTTGGAGAGCTGTGACCACTCATTCATTCTTCACACACCTCTGTCCTTCTCTGTGTGTGTCTGTTGTGTGTGTGTGTCCGCAGCACTTCAGGGGCAGGAAGAACCGCTGTTTCCGGCTGGCGGTGCGCGCGGTGCGCCGTGCCTTCGTCTACGCCACCAAGGCCCGCAAGGCCAAGCGCAGGAACATGAGAACGGTGAGCAGCCGCGCAGCGGGGAGAGGCGCTGGGCCACACTGGGGGGGACAGCAGGGCAGTGATGCAGCACAGAGCCAGACTGGGGGGGACAGCAGGGCAGTGATGCAGCACAGAGCCA